CGAGCCGGTAGCGGCAGGCGAAGAGGAGCTCTCGGCCCGGGGTCAAGTTGTAGGTGCGCACGATGTTCCACGGGTTCACCGCCAGGGTCAGGGTGTAGCCGTCCACGCTCACTGCGCCCGCGGTGTGCGTGGCCAGGACCACGCTGCAGCCGCTGCTGGGGCGAACCGTCCAGTTTGACAGCGAGACGTCCGTGGGGCCCAGGATCTGCTCTCCTATGGCGGCCACCACCTCGTCGGCCCCTCCGTCGTCCGGAAAGCGCACTGCTATCTGCAGCGCCGAGGCTGCCTCCGTGACTCCGAGCTTGCCGGCAAGGAGGCCGTCTACTTGTGCGATGGTGTAGTAGCTGAGCAGCGCGGCTGCGATGCTCGAGGCCGTTGCCGTGTCCTGGTCTGCGGCTGAACGGTACGCCACCAGCGCCGAGGTGATTTGGTTGGTTGTGAACACGTCCTGGTCCGGGCCCGGTAGGCCAGCAGCGCGCCCGCGATGGCGGCCTGCGTCTGCGTGTCCTGCGCGCTTGCCGTGCGGTAGTCTCCCAACAGCGCGTCTACCTGCGCCGAGGTGTAGTAGGCCAGCAGCGCGGCTGTGATGGCGCTGGTCGTCTCCGCGTCCTGCGCTGCCCCTGTGCGGTAGTCTCCCAACAGCGCGTCTACCTGCGCCGAGGTGTAGTAGGCCAGCAGGGCTGCTGTTATAGCGGCGTCAGTGCCCGCCGTGGAGTAGCAGTCTGCCGTGATGCTCAGCGTGTCGTCGCCGTTGGCCAGCGCAGCAGAGAGAGGAGCCACGAAATGCAGGTTGCGAACGACGTTACTTCCGCGAACGAGCTCCCAAGTCGTGAAGCCCGCCCAGGCCGGCGCGTTAACAACTCCGCCGCTGCCGGAAAGCTGCAGGGCGGCGAGCTCCGCGAGGATTGCGTCGAGGGCGCTCTGGAGCGTGGTCTCGCTGGCCGAGAGCGCGGCGTTCGTGGCGTATGAGGCCAGCAGCGTCGCGTCGGCCTTGGCCCCCTGGAGCGCCGTGATGCTGGCGTCCCGGCTAGCAAGCTGCGCTGCGACGAAGGCCTCGGTGGCGAGACCCAGCAGGGCATTTGCTATCTTGGTGTCTACCTCCAGCGGCGTGTCCAACCCGTCCACCGTGGAGAGCAGGGAGGCCAGCGCGCTTGCGTCCGCCTTGCCGAGGAGGGCGGCGTCCAGGGCTGCCGTGGTGACAGCGTCCAAGAGGGCTGTCGCTATCTTAGAGTCCACCACCGAGGAAGTGTCCACGGCCGACTGCAGGGCGTAAGCAGTCAGGGCGCTGGCGTCTGCCTTGGAGGCCTGCAGCCCCGAGATGGAGGCGTCTCGGCTCGCGAGCTCGGAGGCCAGCGCCGCGGCGGTGACGGCCCCCAGGAGAGCGTTGGCCACCTTGGTGTCCACCTCCAGCGGCGTGATCCTCGCCGCTATGTCCAGGGAGTGCTGGTCCACCACCGTCTTGAGGCCGTAGTTGGCGGCCACCGTGGCCAGCGTGGCGTTGTTGGCCGAGGCGATGGAGCCGTTCATGGCCGCCGTGGTGCTGTAGTTGGACAGCTTTAGGTCCACGCCGTCCGGGGTGCTCTTCGTAGCCACCACGCCCTCCAGCACGTCGAAGGCCGACTGGTCTGCCTTGTTGGAGAGACCCGTGGTCAGCGAGCTCTGCAGCGCTGCGATGCTGCTTCCGTGCGCGGCCACCTGTCCGTCCGTGGTGGCCAGGGCCGCCGCCGTTGCTAGGGGCGCAATTGCCGGCGCCAGCGCGCTGCTGTCCAGCTTTGAGGCCAGCTCGGCGGTGACTCGGTCGTCCAGGGACTGGATGGCAGCAGCGTTGTTGCCGGAGGCTGCCGTGTTCACCGCCAGGTCAGTTACTTGAGCGTAGGGCGTCAGAGCGAGGGCCAGCTGCCCTGCTGTGACGTGCGTGCCGTCAGTTACCTCTCCGTTGTCCAGGACCTCCGGGATGTTGCCCGTGACAGGTCCTTCAAACATGTTTTCTTAGGAGTAGGTGTTACACGAATTCGTAACGCAGGGGTGTTGTACTTTCGCAACGCGCCCTCACTTGAGTCGCTATGGGTCATTCGGGGCCTTCGTAGCGCAGGGTGGTATAATTATATATCACTCGCAACAGCCCCTACCTGTACGCGAAGTGTGGAATGACGCAGTGTCCGATGGCGTCGGACACTGGGCATGATGCGAGGTCCTTCACTTATGAAACCTCAGATGAATTGACCGATGGCGTCGGTCAAAGCGCTTGGGACGCCTCGGCCTCATGACGAGACCGGCGAAGGACACTTGTCTCAGCGGCTATGACCTGCGGGGCATTCATGAGCCAACCTTGCCCATTCATGAAACAACCTTGCCCTTTCATGAGCCATTGATGAATCACCCGGTTCCATTATTGACTCAAACTTGCCAAGAACCGAGTCCTCTCGAGAACTGGGGCGCTTTTGCGCAGTTTTCGGCCCCAAAGAGAGCGGTGACGAAGCGGTGACATTGCGGTGAGACCGTTTTTGGGCCAAAAAGCGCCGTTTTGGGACGGTAACGAAAGCCGATGGTGAGATGGCTTAGGCGTTGGTCTCCGGAGCGACGTTTCGGAGGTTCGATTCCACCCCGGTACCTCGGCGGGCTGACGTGTTAGAGACCGGTGACATCGGCGGTGACTAGTTCAGCAGGCTGACGTGTTACATGGAAAACCTCGGCTGGCTGTCGGGCTCCGAGCCAGGTCCTCGGCGGGCTGCCGGGCCGCGAAAAACCCTGCGGAGAGAACTGGGCCCGGTTTTGCGCACTTTGCACCCAAAAAGCGAGCGGTGACAAAGCGGTGACAAGCGGTGACGAGCTCAGCGGGCTGGAATTCGCAGGCTTTTCGGGCCAGAAAACGGATTTCGGAGCACGGCGAACGCATGGAACCGGTTTTCGGAGGAAAACGAGCGAATTTGGAGGCCCAGGCACCACTTTCGACGCCGGACACGAAAAAACGCACTTTTCGGAGTTCGCCGTTTTCAGCGCTTTTTGCAGCAAAAACGGAGTGGTGACAAAGACCGGTGACATCGGAAAAACGTTCAGCAGGTTGGAGAATTTGGCTGTTTTGCAGGGTTTGGGGACCAAAATCCGAAAATTAATTGGTCCCTATAAGCCTTCTTTCCTTACTACTAACCAGAGGAACCCCGGCTGCCTCGTGATCGCGGGCAACACGGGCAACGTGGTCTGCAACACGAGCTTCACAAATTTGTCGGACAGCAGGGTGAAGACGGAGATGGCCGAGGCCGACGTGGCAGAGCTCCAGCAGCTGTTCGACTCCGTGGAGGCCAAGCAGGAACGAAGTGGAAGAACCTGACGGGCACCGCGAGGTGGAGCGACGGCACGGAGATGGTCACCCTCGACTACTCTCACCTCACCAGCGTGCTCTGGGGGGTGTGCAAGGGCTTCCAGGCCCGGCTGGACGAGGTGGAAGCCTGGCAGGCCCAGCGGGGGCCGAAGAACCCATAAGAAACATGGCCGACGCCCGCAGGCGAACCATCAAGGCCGTCACCCTTCTGCTTCGCTGGCGATGTCGCCTACAAGGCGTATGTTAGCTGATTATTGGCCATGTACATGCGGCAGCTCGAAAGAGCAGCCCCTGCAGTTGCTGTTGGTCGCAGGGCAACGGAGGGGCCTGACACAAAATCATGGGGGGTCCACTGACACCGGCGCTTGGGGGGGTGACGGCGAAGGCCCCTGCCACCATGCAGTAGGACTTCAAGGTAGCACGTTGGAGATGTGCAACCACGGAAGACCACGGGGACATGCCGCGAATGCAAAAATCTCACCCCAGTGGATGTGGGACCGAAGCAACATGTGGCAGCTTGCTGTGGCAAACAAACTGAAACATAGTTGCCCTTGCCGCAGGACCTTGAGTTCTAGGACACACCTTGGGCGGCCTTCGGCTTTGAGAGCAACAAATCTTTGGCGGCGGCTGAAATTTTCCGACCACTCAGCTGGAGCGACAGCTTTTTTGGCCGGCTGTGGGGTTTAGGCACGTATTGCATGCATGGCATGTGGGAAAGCACGACCTTAGACTGTACCTGGATTACGTTTGCTGTTCGGTTCTTCGGATGGCATTAATTCAGTGATTGGGCTGCAGGCGACTTGGGGAACAAATCGATGCGTTTTGATGCTCATTGCATCGGGTTTCTCAAAGCTTCTCTTTCTGTCGAAGATTCTGTTGTGTTTTTTAGGTTTGGGTTTGGGTTCTTGTTTGTTTTGCGGAGGAGATTGCAAGGCTTTTGCCTTGCCGACTAAAGACCTAATGGAACATTATGGGCTTTCGTTTTGTTCTCGTTGAAAAAACTTTAAAGCTGATTACGATGAGTTGGTCGAAAATGCAGGCCCTCTACTCTACCTTTGCGTTAGTTGTGGGAGTCTCAAAGTTTGAGCAGGGACATCTCTTGATCTTAACCAATCGACGTGCTCGAAGGAGTCGCTCCTAGAGCGTTGTGAAAGTAGACATGACCCTCGTCACCAGACGCGTGATTGGCTCGGCGGAAGATGTCATCCAACACATGCGGTCCATGCAGAAGGTTGTTCCAAGTTCACATGTTGCCGCAGCGTGAATGGTCTGACACAAGCTATCCACGCACATCTCTCACGTATATATTGCTCATGTCTTGTCTTGCTCACGAAGATAACCCAGTTCAAGTGCATCTTTTTCAGGTATATCTTGCGCAAGTATTGCCGGTGCTTTTGGAAAAACATGAAGCTTTTTCTTCTGCGCTTACGGTGAGCATGTCTTGACGAGCGCAGTGCCATAACAATCACACCACACACAATCATTTTTACTTAATGTGTTTATGACCAGGACACTTGCCAAATGGTTACTTGCAAGCCCAGAGCACGTTCATTTCTCACGGCAAGCAACACAAATTATACCAGCGGCCGAGATAGCAAACAACTCTAGTTTTCGTAACTTCAAGCATGCGTTCATAGATTGATCAGTTTTTGTCGCTGGCCGTCGAACGGCATTTTCCAAGCAAGCAATTTTCGGCCGCAGCTTAGCTTCGCACCCCTTGGCCTGAGTGGGCCAGTCGTTTGCCCGTCGTTTTTTGCCATTCGGGGTGATGGGGCAGTGTGTACCTGTCCCGAAGAATCAGCTCTTCGATGACTTCGTGCCTGCGCTGCCCCGCATGGACGGCAAGAGCGTGGCGGTCACCGGGTGCACTTCTGGCACCGGGAAGATTTTCGCCAAGGCACGAGGGGCAAGCATAGGATGGATGAGCGACAAAAACATAATGTTGTATGTTGCCTCCACCACTGGATATGGTGAGTTCTGAACACCATTGGCAGCGTTACAGTGTTCTGGGTTTGCCTCTGTTGCCAGACGCGTCTCTGGCAAAGTTGCGAATACGACGGTACTCCATGCTTGGCAGTATTCACCTGGACCCAGGACGGAGGGGTCTGAAAATTGAGTGGACACCAGTTGGGATGGATGAAACCAGAATTGAAAAATGGGACAAACCATCTAACTGGTGCCTGGCGCAAAGGTGTCCAACTGAATCTTCCGTTGCTGGCCACATGGACTCGCTCCAAGCCTGGACCCCAAGAACTGGAGGCCGACGAGCAACTGGATTCAAAGATGTGGGGAGCTTGAACCAGAGTTCTGGCCTTTGCCACTGGGGTGACAAATTAATTGCGGCTGATGTCCCAGACGTGTCTATGCTGAGAAAAACGGTTTAGGAGTATTTTCAGAACCGTGGGGTGGGATGTTTGACAGATGTCTAGTTTGACTTGCTATTGGCTTCGCCTCAACCCGATTTTTGTAGCAAGATTGCAACGCAGCCCGTGGCAGCAAGAGGTACCGGCGTCTGTGTCATGGTGCAGTGTCACTATGCAAACAATAACACTGATTCTTGTTCTGGCAGACATTTCTTGGAGTCTAGTTAAACAACAGCAACAGCTCGAGGTCCCCCTCCCCTCCCCTTCCCCTCCCCCTCCCCCTCCCCTCCCCTCCCCTCCGTGAACCCCCGAGGATTCGCAGCGCAAGCGCCTCGCCAGGTCTGCGCCCAGAAAGGCGCCCGCGTGGTGATGCTGAACCGGGACTCCCAGCGCGCCCAGGAGGCCTTCGCGGAAATGAAGGCGGCGCCTCGGTCGGCAGTCGGCAGTCAGCCTAGTCGCGCCCTGGGGCGACTGAGGCGAGGAGGGGACAGAGCCATTTGGCTGTGGGTCAAAATCCAAATCAGTTAGCCCCCAGGGAGCATCCGATTCAATCCAACCACTGAAATAGGTTCTAAAATGGGTAACACCAAAATGGAACCCTGGTAAATGGAAGCATGGACTAAAAGCTGCGGTCTCGTGATTTAATTTTGACACACATGGCTCCAAATGAATCAGCTGGGGGAGACCGCAGGTGTTGGTCTTTGTTTCCAACAAACGGTACAGCTTTTTGAGCCACAGCCGTTTCTTGGCGTAAGCACGCGACACGTTTCGCCCAAGAAAACACGGTGGGGCAGAGTGCCTGGTTTCTTGTTTTGGATGGAAGAATCTTCAGGGCACCTGGGTCGGGTTTTCTTCAATCTGCTTGGGTAAACATGCAACAAACAACGCGAGATGGTTGTGCCATGCTCCCTGCAGATGTGGGAGTGAAGGGTTGGGTTGCTGACGCCAATCTGGGATACTGCCCAAACTGTAGCAAACAGCTGTAAAATTGCCGGATTCGTGGGCTTTCAGACCGGGCACCTACCTAGACTTCTTCGTGTTTGGTCCATTGTTCGTTCAGGGAAGGGGTGGGAGCACTGCATGTCGAGGAACCGACTGGCTAGAGCACAAGGTGTTGCTTGACCTGGGAATCAGATGAGAGGAGAAACATGTGGAAGTTATTTTCTTTTCACAAGTCTCTAGTTTTGAGGTGGGGCGGATGTGGTGCGGATGTAGCCTGCGCTGGAAAAATGAGCTGTCGCTTTCGGGCGCGCGCAAAGATCCGTCGGATCCCTTCGGTGACCCACCAGCCATCAGAGATGTCAAACTCGTCCTGACCGCAAACTTATGGTGGCTTGGGAAGGGCAGTTTCTCGGGGAACTCTGGGGACAGACCCCCCCTCCCGTGTAACAGGGGGCCCAGCTCTGATGTTTTTTCCATGTCAGAGAAAGCCACAGTAGGTGCCTCACGTGAAACTTTGTAGTTGAAAGTGAAAGCAAAAATGATTTGAAGGATTGTGGCTTGAATCAACAGCATTTCTTGGCTGAAAAGGCGTCAGGTTCCCGGATATTCTTTGGCTCGTTGAGTTTCGCCGGCCGCTGCTTGATTTCTACGAGCTTCATGGTCCCGAAACAGGGCCTTTTGCGGTTCGGCCAGAGGGATCCAACGAGTTTGTACATGGTCCCTTACAAACTATCCCGTATGGCTTCCTTTAAGGGAATTGTTGGGCTCATTCCCAGATTCCGTACTGAGCACCATGAGGAACACCTTTTTAAATGAACCTAAACCCTGTCCATCAGGTCCCCAATGAAAAACATACCTATACCTAGCAAGTAGTTCTGAACATCTTCGAACTTTTGTCAGGTTCCATTTTGGTTTTTCTCTTTCTTGGAGCTTGGCTCACAGTTTTTTTCGAAGGGCGCAAACCAAGGGGGCCTTTTTTTTTTTGGGGGGGGGTTTCACCCCCATGCAGCTCAACCCAACGGAGCAAAGCCCGAGAAGCGCCGTGCGTCCCTCGCGATGAGCCGATGAGCCGATGAGCCGAGGCCGCGGCGGCCGCAGAGGCGCCGGAGCCGCTGTTCGTGGCCTGCGACCTGACGTCGTTTCAGTCTGTGCGGGCGGCGGGCACTGCGCTGAGCCGGGATGCAGGCGGGGCATCAGTGGGTGGGGTGGGGTGGGGTGGGGTGGGTGGGGTTGGGGGGGAGGGGTGGGTGGGTGGAAGTCTGAAGAGAGTAGGGGGGGTGGTCGACACAAACAAGCAAAAGGACATGGCAAGTTTGAAGTGTCTTATGCCTAGCATGACCTTGGATGGCCGGGCTTCAAAAGAACAAGAGCCTCGCTGAAGAAAAAACCCTCCAATCCCAGAACACGAGGCCTTTGAGTGGGTGCTGCATCAGGACAAGCGGTGTGAGTATGGGTTCCCCTTTGGTGGTCACACCATTTGTCTCAAAGCTAATTCGATGAATAGCCTCCCGTAAGCTCAATGGCATCCGACAATGGCTGTCGCTTCCCCACTCACCGCGTGGCAGAACCGGGGCATGATTCCAACCAAGCAGGCAGGCAGGCAGCCTAGCGAACAAATAACATTTAGACATAGAACAAAAATACACACCTGAACCCACCGACCCGACCGTCCGACCGAAGGGCGCCAACAGCTAGCCGCAAGAACCCGCAAAGCCCCGCGGAGCCCGCTTACAAATGCTTCGCATCTTCTTTTTTCCGGGCAGGCCTCAGCGAGAAGGGCCTGGACGTGCTCTGCAACAACGCAGGGATCATGGGTTTTCCTGACGTGGCCACGGAGGATTTGGGAGATGTACTTTGGTTCCCGCTTTCTGTTAGATAAATCAACATGTGCACGATCCGAAAGAGGGGCTTGTCCCTCCATTTCCTTCCATATCTTCGTGGATTTTGTTGGATAGTGTCAAGTGGGTCCTTGCCGTAAAGCTTCGAAGGAGATTTATTGATTGTTTGTGTCTGTGCTGCTGCTGCCCAGTTGGGCTCACTGCCACGAACAGCTAGGATTGTGCCGCTTTGAAGTGCCACGCTTCTGGAAATCCATGCTGTGTGTAGTTTTTCTACCCCATTCGCTAGGACAAGTGCGACGTCCAGATGCAGAGCAACCACCTGAGCCACTTCCTGCTGACCAACCTGTGCATGCCGCTGCTGGGGAAGGCGGCGGATCTGCGGGGCGAGGCCCGGGTCGTGAACCACAGCAGCGCGCTGCGGGTCATGGACGACGACAACTTCTCCAACGAGCTGGATCCAAAATTCCTGGAGAAGAACGGGGGCAACCTAGGAGGCTAGAAAGCTGAGTATTTCCCGCGAAGCTCTTGCTTTTGTTTGGAATCACTTGCGTAGTAGTCCCAAGGCAGTCGGAAAGAGAGAAGGGAAAGGTGAGGCCACGAATCCGAGCGGAAGGTCAGCGTTTCGCGGCGCCAGGGCGTTTAGCTTGCCGTTGCGTATCTTTTTTGATTGTGGGTGCTCGTTTGGCGCTTCTTTTCCGGCCACACGGCACCGAAGTCCTGAAGCCCCAGAGGCAACAGTGAGACCATCATGAAGGGCGCAAACTTCCATAGGCGGGGCGTGGGCGTGGGACAGGTGAAGGGGGGAGTTGGTGGTATTTGGGGAGAGCACTTGGAGACCCAAAGAGACTGAAGCAAATAGTTGGTTTAAATTCAGGATTTCAAGAGACACAGATGGTTGTGCCATTTTTTTTAATGTATTGTATTTTGGGATTCCCCCCCCAAAAAAAAGTGTGTCACTCGCGTATACATTGAACTTCATACCGGTGCCTGCATGGGTTTCAAAGACGTTCAACGTAGATGGAAAGTCACACGGGTCATGGCAGCTTTCATGGAATCGTCAGGAGGAGATGTCCAGAACTCATCTGATTCACAAGGGGGCGTCCTCCAAATGAGCTAAACAATGTGATTTTCAACGCAGGCGCAGACATATCCTTTTAGCACGCAAGGAAGTGGCCTCGTCGCCTCTGGACGCCTTGGGCGGTTCAGCTTCGGAGGGAAACCACGACATTCTGGGCGGGTTTGGCCGGGTTTGGGTTCGCCATAGACCGCCATGACGCGACGAGACTGTGCCTAGACAAGAGACTAATGAGTCTCTCCAGGTCTCCAGGTCGGTGCAGTGAACCTGATCGGTGCAGTGAACCTGATCGGGAGGGTATCCGCATGTGTCCAGCTTCCATCAGCCGCCCCACGAACTGGCCCCTGCCTTTTTTGGTGCCAAAATCCGGCAGGTACCAGCAGACCAAGCTTGCCAACGTGGTCTTCACCTACGCGCTGCACGACCGCCTGCAGGCCGCCGGCTCCAAGATCAAGTCGCTCTGCGCCCACCCGGGCGTGGCTCAAACGCAGCTGACCACCCAAACCATGAAGCAGGGCGGTGCCAAGGCGCGGAAGACGACTTAAGGGAGCAGTTGCTTTGGTTGATTAATTGGTGTCGCGTTTGGGTTGTCAGCTTTTTTTTGACCGGCCTGGAGTTTGGTTTATGGGTTTGTTAACTTGTATTATGCATTGTTGCTTGGCTTGTTGCTTGGCTTGTTGCTAGGCTTGTGAGTCTTCTTTATTTTTTTGGTCATCTTATCTTGATGATTGCTTTATTTGTTGCTTCTTTTGCCGATTCAATTCGAGTTGGTTGATGTTGATTTGTTGGTTCAAGTTGGTTTGGTGGTTGGGTTGTCCACTTAAGTTGCTGTGGTCTTTGATTTGTCCATTTAAGCTGGTTTGGTGTTTGATTTGGCGCTGCGATGTATTTATGTCGGCTTGGTTTTTGGCTTGTTGTTTTGATAAAGTTGATATCAGTATTTTTTGGAGTTGTACTTATTTGTTTGTTTATGAAGTCAAGTTTTCATTTATTTCATGTTTATAATTCTTTCTTTATTTGTTTATTCATTTATGAGTATTTACTCATGTTGCTTTTTGTTTGTTTGTTTGTTTGTTTGTTTGTTTGCCTGTCTGTCTGTCTGTTTGTTTGTTTGTTTGTTTGTTTGTTTGCTTGTTTTGGTTCCCGTTTGAATTGCTTTGCTTGCTTGCTTTGCTTGCTTGCTTTGCTTGCTTGCTTTGCTTGCTTGCTTCGTTTGCTTGCTTTGCTTTGCTTGCTTGCCTTGCTTTGCTTGCTTGCTTTGCTTGCTTGCTTTGCTTGCTTGCTTTGCTTGCTTGCTTTGCTTGCTTGCTTTGCTTGCTTGCTTTGCTTGCTTGCTTTGCTTGCTTGCTTCGTTTGCTTGCTTTGCTTTGCTTGCTTGCCTTGCTTTGCTTGCTTGCTTTGCTTGCTTGCTTTGCTTGCTCGCTTTGCTTTGCTTGCTTGCCTTGCTTTGCTTGCTTGCTTTGCTTGCTTGCTTTGCTTGCTCGCTTTGCTTGCCTTGCTTGCTTGCTTGCTTGCTTGCTTGCTTTGTTTGTTTGTTTGTTTGTTTGTTTGTTTGTTTGTTTCTAGTTTGCTAGTTTGCTTGTTGCTTGCTTGCTTGTTTTTTTTTTTTTGTTTGTTTGTTTGTTTGTTTGTTTGTGGGTTTGCTTGTTTCTAGTTTGCTAGTTTGCTAGTTTGCTAGTTTGCTTGTTGCTTGCTTGCTTGCTTGCTTGTTTTTTGTTTTGTTTCTTTGTTTGTTTGTTTGTTTGTTTGTGGGTTTGCTTGTTTCTAGTTTGCTAGTTTGCTAGTTTGCTAGTTTGCTAGTTTGCTAGTTTGCTAGTTTGCTAGTTTGCTAGTTTGCTAGTTTGCTTGCTTGCTTGCTTGCTTGCTTGCTTTGTTTGTTCGTTCCTTTGTTTGTTTGTTTGTTTGCTTGTTTGTTTGTTTGTTTGTTTGTTTGTTTCTAGTTTGCTTGTTGGCTTGTTCTTGTTGTCTTTTTGCTTTTTTTTTGCCAGCTTGCTGGTTGGCTTGCTTGCTTTGTGGCTTGATTGGTTTGTGCCTTCGATGCAGATTAAGAGCTCCAATCCCACTTTTGACTTCTCGCCACTAGCTCGCGCTATATTTTCCTCGGGGTGATTCGGGAGAAGGGGGCTATTTCCGTTGGCACTCTTCACGCGTTTGACAGGCCGTCTGTTTTGGAGGGTACCGCAGTTTTTGGTTTCAAAGGGACACCAAAAGGAACACCAACATCTTGGGGACCCCTTGTAAAACAAAAGCTCATTTGTGGGCCTTTTCCGGCATTCCAGGAGGCGTCTTCCGCCTCAAAGGGCCAGATGTGGTCCTTTCACGAGAGTTGATAGCCTTGAAAGGATCACACCTGATGAGACACACGTCGGCCCTGGAGAGGTGTGGTCCCCTTTTTCACATGACGCTCCTGTCTTCGGTGTACTTGCCTGTAGGACATGCAGAAAATCCCTTCGTGGGCGATGAAGCTCGCCGCCTACTTCATGTTCCAAACTGAGGAGGAGCGCCGGCGGATGGGATTCACTTTGAAACATCCACAGGCAAATCTCAAATCACAGAAAGAAGGCAACTCGTAAGTTGGTATCCCGGCTGGAAAAGATAGCACGCCCTTTCGCGCTGTGAAGGAAAGTTAGTGTCTGGCACGGAGCTGGAGGAGCGGGCGGTGACTACTGCTGCTGCCGCTTCTGCTACATTCACTACGACTGGAGCTACTATTGTTGCCAGTACTACTACAACAACTACTACTGCTACCTTGCAACTGCTACTAGTACCACTGCTGCTGTTGCTCTGCTGCTGCTACTGCTAAGGCCACTCTTTTTTGTTGGTTGTTTGTTTCTGAGGATATTTCTTGATCCCGCCATTTCTTGCGGAACCAAGCAGCCATGGTACCTGTGATCAGGGTCCTGTTTTCTCAGGGTTTTCTCTGCCATTTCTATCCCTTTTCAGGCTACTCTTTCTCAGGGTTTTCGGTTCATTTCTTTTCCAGAATGTGCCTGTACTAGTACCCGGCAGGATGCTTTCTAAGGGTTTCCACATACCTTGCCCATTTACATCTTACTGGCGACCATGGCGACAGTTCGCCGCACCCAACAGAATTTGTTTGTTTCTTTCATGCTTGTTCTTTACCTGACATGGTGAACCGCTGTCCTGACCCCAGTTCTTTGCTTCTTTTTTTTGGGGGTTGGGTTTTTCCGAACTCCACCCGCAAAAACTCGCCACTCGTAGCAGAAGTCAGATTTCCGGGCAGCCCCGCTGGGCAGCGAGGACGGGGCCTGCGGGATCCTGCGGCAGGCCTTGGCGCCCGAGGCCAAGTCCCGGGAGTTCTTTGGGCCGCTGGGCAAGGGCGGCGCCTCGGCGATGCGGGCGGTGCGCGACCCGGGGTCTTTTCGGCTTTTTTTTTTTTTTTTTTTGTTTTCTTCTTCTTTTGTTTTTTTCTTCCTTTTTTTTTTTGTTGTTGTCTTTTTCCGGGTGGACGTGTTCATGCCAAAGTCAGGGTGTTCATTTTTGAGGTCTTTTGGGGTCAATGGCCTTCACATTGCAGGTCTTGGGCTCCTAGGGATGCTGTAAATGGTGGCGAAATGCATTTCGCTTCACTTAGTGAAGCCAGGGGAAGTCATAGTTGTAACTCAGGGGAAGCCATTCATTACAGGGTTTCTGAACCGTGGTGCGTTGGATTGATTTTTCTTTGATCAGGATGTTGATTTGTTAGTGAATGACACGCGATACCACTCATATAAAGCTCGTTAACTTTCATTGATTTGTGTATTTGAAACACGCGTGTTCTTCTTTTTTTCCCCGAAAGCATCGCGAAGGGTTCTTCCGTGCGCAGCCCTTGGACAAGTTACACAGAGCCAAGTTGCACAGAGCCAAGTTGCACAGAGCCCAAGTTACATAGAGCCAAGTTACATAGAGCCAAGTTACATAGAGCCAAGTTACATAGAGCCAAGTTACATAGAGCCAAGTTGCATAGAGCCAGGTGGCACAGAGCCAGGTGGCACAGAGCCAGGTGGCACAGAGCCAAGGTTAGGTAGAGCTTGCGTAGAGCTTCGGCGTTAGCAGGTATGTAAGGCGGGAGTTTGATGGTCGCTCGGGATTGCGACCCTCTGCGGAGATACGAGGTCAAAAAACTGAGGACTTTTTGCGATTTTTAGCATGCGCGCGCGACCCTCTGCGGAGATTCGCGTGGTCGAGGTTCAAAAACAGGACTTTTTACGATTTTGAGCATGCGCGCGCGACCCTCTGCGGAGATTCGCGTGGCCGAGGTTCAAAAACTGAGGACTTTTTACGTTTTTTAGCATGCGCGTGCGCGACCCTCTGCGGAGATTCGCGTCGTCGAGGTTCAAAAGCTGAGGACTTTTTACGATTTCTGCGGTCCGCGCGCGATTCTCTGCGGAGATTCGCGTGGTCGAGGTTCAAAAACTGAGGACGTTTTACGATTTCTGCGGTCCGCGCGCGACCCTCTGCGGAGATCGTGCGCGTCGAAGCGCTCTCGCTGTGGCGCCGTGCGAATTTGTCTTAGTCTCGGCGAACCCTCTGCGGAGATTGTGCTTGTCGAAGCGCTCTCGCTGTGGCGCCGTGCAATATTCTTGCTCGCGAAACGGCCTTTGGAAGTTGTCTCGTGGTTTGCGCGCCTGCTTTCGCAATCCCGCGGTCGCGGGTTCGATTCCCCCCTGGTCCGCGGCAGCTCCGGCTTGAAAATCGCAGCTTTTAAGTACAAACGTAGTACGCGGAGCGTGCTCCTGCAGCTCCGGCTGGAAAATCGTAACTTTTAAGTACAGACGTAGTATGCGGAGCGTGCTCCCGCAGCTCAGGCTGGAAAATCGCAACTTTTAAGTACAAACGTAGTACGCGGAGCACACCCCCGCAGCTCCGGCTTGAAAATCGCAACGTAGTACGCGGACCGTACTCCTGCAGCTCCGGCTGGAAAATCGCAACTTTTAAGTACAGACGTAGTATGCGGAGCGTGCTCCCGCGCAACTTTTAAGTACAAACGTAGTACGCGGAGCACACCCCCGCAGCTCCGGCTGGAAAATCGCAACTTTTAAGTACAAAAATAGTATGCGAAGTACATTCCCACAGCTCCGGCAGCACTTGCGCAGAGCAACTTGCGCAGAGTCACTTGCGCAGAGCAACTTGCGCAGAGCAACTTGCACAGAGCAATTGCACAAAGCACTTGCGCAGAGCAACTTGCACAGACCAACTTGCGCAGAGCACATGCGCAAAGCGCTTGCACGGAGCAACTGGCGCAGAGCACTTGCGCAGAGCAACCTGCTCACAGCACTTGCGCAGAGCAACTTGCACAGAGCACATGCGCAAAGCGCTTGCATGGAACAACTGCGCAGAGCAACTTGCGCAGACCAACTTGCACAGAGCACATGCGCAAAGCGCTTGCGCGGAGCAACTGGCGCAGAGCACTTGCGCAGAGCAACTTGCTCAGAGCACTTGCGCAGAGCAACTTGCACAGAGCACTTGCGTGCAGCAGCGTGCAGCAGCTTGCAGAGAGCAACTTGCGCGCAGCAGCCTGGAACAATGCAGCTTGCGCAGACCACTTTCGTGAGAAATCGCGCGGCGCAGTTCGAGAGGAAAGTAGTATGATGAGATGGAGCCCTCATGTGACCATACACACTGAGCATCGCCGCGCGCAGACACGCTCGCCGCAGCGATGTAAAAAGGTGTCTCCGCGGCTGGATGAGCGCCTGTGGAAAAATGCTTTCGGGCCAATCGTCCTCTAGTTCTCTTTCTTTCTCTTCATTCTTCAACCAAGCACATATGTGTTATATATGTTGTTGTAACCCAGTTGGGCGTGTCGTTTTTGATGCTAAGGGAAACCAGCAGGACCAAGATCCCTATTTTGTACCCAGGTGGCTGTTTTTTTGAGGGAGCCCTTTTTGGAGTAAGGCACGCCAAAGGGAATTATGCGATCTTGGGGTTCCTACTTTTTCTCTAGTTATTTTACAATAAGGTTTTGTGCCCGTAACATGGTTGGTTTCCTTGTTTTTTTTGGGTTTCCTTTTGAATGCTTACCGAAAGGGGGGATTTGCCGTTTTGAGAAAGTCTCATTAAACCTTTCGGAGTCGCCCATTGTCAGGGGTTCCATAGGCACAGGGGTTCCATTTGAGGCAGACTCAGGCAGGGTGCAAGCTCACCTTTTGGGGAAGACAAGTCCCCTGGCAAAATGTCAGGAAACACTGGCAAGTACGACAAGGCGGGACTTCCGGTGCGAATTTCTTTTTGTCAAACCCTTTACAAGGCCCCCCCCCAGTTTCCTAATGAGATAATAGCCACGAAGCAGGCCTGAGGTCTACCTTGCAACCGGTTGCCTTTTGTGGGAGTGGGGTGTGTCCCTGGGCATGCCCTGACATCCCTTTTGGCACTGTTAAAGGGAGAGTCGGAAGGGCAGGGGCGGGCGACAGCATGCGGAAGTGACAGTGTCGCTCGCTATGGGAAACATGAGGCGTGGGAAGATGGGTCGCTTTCTGTGATGCTTACCTGGAGTCTCCCTGCCAGAACTCGTGGTGATGTCCTTGCGATGCTTCTGAAGGAGAAATACCGCGAATGGTTTCGAGGGGACATCAAAGTTATAACCGACCATTTTAGAGGACAGATCCCCATATTGAGAAACAAACATGGGTTTCTCAAAATAGGAATCGGTCCACTGTGGTCTGTTTCCTTTTGACTTCCCTTCAAATACCAACCAAAGGACGCTCACCATGCTTTGAACATATTATCTTGTAAGATAGGGGTTTGTACCTCCAAACCGGTTTTCGGCTTTCCCTTACGAAGCAAAAGGTTGCGCCTTTCGCCTCAAGCAGCGCGCTGCGCAGGCTGAGAGCAAGGGTCCTGTGGGGGTCCTGGCCGAGCAGCCCTTGGCCCACGAGAAGGCCCGCGAGATGCTTTGGAGGAGCGGAATCCGCGCTGTTGGAATCCGCGTCTCGGATTTGGAGTTTTTTCTTTGGTGCATTTTGCCAGGGGATGTTTGGACTTGAACTTTTTTTGCCAACTAAGGGGTTTTCCATTAAACCACGAAAACTTAAGCATTTAGCAAGGAGGCAGAAAGCAACCGAGTTTTGGGGTGCCCCGTTTTATCGAATCGGACCCTCAAAATGGCTTCGTTGGTTTTTCGGTTTGCAAACCGAAAAGCCACAAGCACGGGGAAAAGGCTCTTTGTCGGCGCCCGTGTTTTGCCACATCCGTTTTGGGGGGTTGTTCTAAAGCCGAAAGGACACCCACCCTATCGCATGTTAGGGGTTCATCCCTTGGGATGGGACAAAGGTCCAAAGCGTGACCTGAGGTCACTCTTGCACGGTTTTGATCGGTCTGGATTGGTTTGGAGGATTTGAACCACGCAACACCTACCCGAGCCACGAAGTTGTGAACATTCTTGAAGTCCAGCGCCCGTTGGATGAGTGGCCTGAACAACTCGTCAGAGTCAATCGCTGTCCACCTTGCCGACAAGCGGCATCCCATATAAAGGCCCTTGTGATCAACCCCTTTGCGCTGCTAGGGACTTCATGTGGATGGATCAGCCCTGGGACACATGGAGGCCAATGCTCTACCACGACGGTGTGGTCACTTCAATCCGAGTCGGCTTCTGTCCCGCTTGCACGTTGAATGCTTTCATGTGCCGCCCGGCCATCTTCTTATGTTCAAGATGCTCGCCTCCAAAAGAGATGCTTCCAGGGCTTTGAATTCATTTGGGATACACAGCAGTGGTTGATGCTTGAGGTGCGAAAGTAGTGGTCGGCGCGTTAGGATGTCTCAAAGTTACAGAAGCTTGCAGGGTCCATCAGCCTTTTCTCTTTCTCCGTTTCCTAGATTATCCGAAAGGGGGGGCAGAAGACTCGCGTCAAACGCGGGAGGATCAGCGAGGAGGTGACTGGCCAGCCCTTCGTGGTATGACGGCACAGACGGTTGGAGGCAAGAAGCGCACGTGTCAAATTTAAGGACCCTTCTTGGTCCGTCAAGGAAACCTCAACACATTCCATTTTTTTTGAGGGGGTTCCAATGTTTGGGATTCCACTTTCGGCTGTTGAAAGCAGGAAACCAAATGATTCGGAAGGGGCACTAATTTTTGCACACCCAGAGGGTGTCCTCAAGTTGAACATCCTCTTTCTGGAATTGCTTTCAGAAGAAACTATTGTCCTCTTTCCGTTCCAGCCAATAGAAGATCAATGATTTCATGTTGAGCTGGCCTAAGCATGAAACCAAAAAGAAGCCAACCATTCGAAAGGACCCACCCCGCAGGCGTTGTCAGAAAGATGCTCAAAGAGTTCTTCCCCCAACAAGGAGTCCAGTTTAAATTGCTTTTCTGCATACTCCAAATCTCTGGGGCCCAAGCGTGAGGACGTGAGGGGTGGCCTGCCAAAAATTAGCGCAGCCAAAGTTAAGTTTTTGCATGCCCTTTGTTGGGGAACCTGCGCGAGATTGTTCGGGGCTTTTGTGACGAGCGTTGACAATGAGAGCTTTGTCGAGGACTTCCTTGGACCTTGCCTTCGTTTGCTTAGAGCTGATGCTTGCGATGCTTCCACGAAGCAAGGATTCGATAAGATGACTTTGGGTGCCTTTAGACAGAGCACCTGTGAAGCTTTCTTGTTGCGAGGCCGTTTCTGATTGGAGGTGGACAAAACCTTGCATCGGTTGGTAGTTGGATTTTCCTGGCAAAGTGTTTCATCCATCCCAACTGGTGCGAAGCGGATTTTGCCATCCACAGTGGCTCGACTTGAAAATACTGCTCAGGTGGATGTCTCCGGCGCACAGCCTCTCCAACTGCTTGCAGTTGGGGGAAAGTAGATGCCAAAATTCGCCCATTTTGGTTTGTCTTCCCCTTTACCCACAGGGGATTGCACAATTGCCTTCCCCAATAGCTTTTCCTGCGCTTGTGCATCGTTTTGCGGAGCATTTGGTGCAGCCCAGCTGCGAGTCGGCTTGAGGGAGCGCGTTTGAGTCACGTCAAGGGCATGGGTCCAAGTAGAGATCTAAGAGTTGCCTTAATTGCGGTTTCCCTGGACATACCAACCAGAATTGAGCAACTCCCATTTTTCAGGGTCCATTTTGCCCCAGCGAAGCAGACTCCATTCAGGGAGTCAAGTGGTCAGCTCCTATCGGCTTGACACTAGGCGCAGGTCCAGAAAGCGCGAGAATCCACGCGCCTGGGCACAGTTTGTTCGGCTTTCGGTCACTTTTGTGGCCCACTGTCTCGCCAATTTCGCGATGCAAAGGTGACGTTTTCTGGCACTTTTCGTCTCTTCACTGGCGGCAAGTGATGTGTTTGGCATCCAAAAGGATGGCGGTCGACTCTTCGATGGTGGTGTTTTGGCGGCTTTCCTATGAGGGAAAGGCAGCCACGGCCTTCACGGTTGCGTTTGCTGTGTGGCGTTTGAGCTGGGAAGTGGTCAACTGGAAGGGCTGCTTTATTTCTGGCAAAATGGCGCTGTTCCTGTGAATTTGAAAACATGTGAGATGCTGATGCTGCGGCAGCTTGTGTGCCAAATTCTGTTTGCTGGTTATCTTGCGCCGGAGGCCGGGACTTTGTTGCGTGGTTTGAGCTGAGAAATCGATAAGAATACAAAACAACATTTGTATATATATATATGTATACGTATGTATAACGAACACAATAACGTGGGCAGACAGGCATGCTATGGGTAGTTCGCGTGCTACGCCTGTATTGTCGTGCATTCGTGCTGTTCCAAGGCTTCCCGTGCTACTCTTGTACTGAAACCTTGCAGCCAAATGCTCGACAAACGATCACCGAAGAAGCATGTTTTGCACTTTGATTGGACAACCGTCTTAACACGATGAGAAGAAAGAAGTGGGTATGGGTCAAAACTTAACCACCAGAAAACCGCAGGTGTTGCTCCATGGTTCCATTTACCAGGATTCCATTTTGGGTACATATTTTTGACCCGCAGCCAAGTGATGAATATCATTTGCCAATGTGAATTCGGCCAAGCTTCGTCGCCCCATACGGCTCCGAAGAAGTGGTCTTGGATTTGTCTTCTAAGTTGTCATGGCCGCGCATGCTGCCCCAAGGACGGGCGGGACAGACACGCGACGGCATGGGCAATCCGTGCTCTTCGTTTGAAACCTTTTGGTTGAGCTCCCACATGCGACTGAGTCAAAGTCAAGGCTGTTGGGGACCAGCGAGGGCTTTCGGGAACAGAGCTGAAGCATGGCAAATGCACTCTGTTCCTTTGTCTTTGGAGCTTCCTGTTCATTCGCGGATGTGTCGGGATGGCGCTTGCAGCTCGGTATCCCCCCCCGCCCTCAGGACGTGCTTCCAGAGCACTGCGCGTGTGGTGCCCAGATCCGGATGCTGTCGGTGTTGGCTTGTTTGGCCCAACCCATGTGCGCAAAGAAGGTCTACAATTTCCCTTCTATTTCATATGTAGTTGAACATGTACACATATCTATATACATATACAATACTTATATACATACGTCATATCTACGTAGAGTTTTTTTTGTTCTCGGACTGCAAGACCTACTGCCTAGGTTGGGTCCATTCAAAAATTCTCAACTTCCAGCCAGTCGCTCGAGGTTCTCGAGGCCCTCCGCAAGGCGCTCGCCGGGCGGAGCTTTGCGTGGCAGGCACCGGAAAGAACGCATGCGGTCGCCTAGTCTCGCAAGGCTGTGGGTCAAAACCAATGGATCCCATTTTGGGGTAGGTGAAATCACCACCCATTGTTGTCTATTTTAGTGGGGATTGGGATGTTCACTGGGGGTACGGGATTTTGACCCATGGCCGCAAGAATCATGGAAGCTGATACGAGGTCTTTGGAAGACTACTGTCTTTTTGGGAGCCCCGAAAACGTTCGCTTTCAGACGGAGGGTAACTGACTCATGTTTGTTCATTCCAGACTTTTAGAAACCTGAAGCAATGGCAATTTCTGGGCGAAGCGGTTTGTTTTCCTGCCATGCCGCAATGTTTGGGTAGGACATTCGTGTTTGAGGGAAGTGGACTTGGATTGAAGTATCAGTTTATCAACACCCGGAGCCAGAGCAGGCATTTTTCCCACAGACATATGGTATTACTTATTGCAGATGGAATGTGTGAAGCAGCTTTCAAGAACAAACATGTGTTTCACCCTTTGCACCAGCCGAGCTTCTAACAAAGCGAGGATGACGGGAAGCAAGCGTGAGCAGGACATGGAAAGGAAAGCGTGGTTGCCCACATTCACCCTAACAGCATTGATCCATCGCCTAGGCGTTCCGTGTGGATATGTTTTTGAAGCAGCGCAGCAAGAAGCCCTGTTTGAACCTTCCCTTCCGCGTGTTTTGTTGGTTTTGCAAGGGATTCCCTGAGCCGGGCCAGGAGCGGATGAGCACTTGGCACGCCAAGTGTTTTCATATCCAGTGAAAAGAGTGACGCCAATCCCGAAGCTTTGTCCATCTTGCCGGCGGCTGCAACTGCTTTGCGGGGCTTTGATTGCAGGGTTCGCGCTGGACAAGGCCTGGCTCCATCATGCCCTACACTGGCACTCGTTTTGGGCTTGACCATTTTGGCGAGCCATCTTACCACGATCAGTCTCGCTTCCGTTCAGCGGGTTCAGGGAAACCACGAATTCCAGAGTCTCACTTTGATAGCCCCTAGAAACAGACTCCGAATTACGACCCCAGGCCATGATAAAAGGGGAACCTACCGAAAAGAAACGATGGGGTACCTGGGTATGTGGTAAGTAAGCCTGATCCACTTAACGTATACTTGCAACCCGGCAAGTGGGATATACCCATGGTGATTGGTTAGTAGCATCACCCAAGAATCCCTGGAATGATTCTGCCGTAAACACCCGCAAGCAATGGTTTCAAGCATTTTTGTCAACGTGGTGGGACATGGATTTTGTTGCGTCGTAATCTCATCACAAACCAAAAAAAGGGCCCGGTCGTATGGTGATGCCAATCCCCAAGACTCATGGGGTGCCAGGCTCCCAAGGCGGACTGCTATGCCCTGCTTGGCAGGGGCGCCCGAAGTTTGGGGCTGGCTCTCAAAAACAGAACGAAGAACTGGTTTGGTGGTCGGAGCCCGCGGAACATGTCGGTTTTGGGGGTGTTTTTGGTTGGTTTAGTGGGGGTAGTGGTTCGGATTGAACCCACAAGGCCAAGGATTTAGCAGAAAATGAGTTTGGACAGCCCAGTAAAGTTGGGTTTTCTTTGGATTCCCTTTTTGAACCACTCGGGTAGAGGAGGAGCCCTCAAAAAGAAAGACAAAAACAAAGCGACCGCAAGAGGACATGGGAGCATATCCTGCCAGACAGCTTTGGAAAGACACCACATTTGCGTGGGAGTGGTTCGAGGGTCATGGAAACCCTGCTGGTGCCTGTGCCAATGGTCCTCAGGAAATCCGGTTCCATTCATGAGATGCTCTGAAACTGGCATCTAGTCAAATCAGAAGATACCCCAAAGGCCTCAGCCAGGTGTTGGGGCATCACTGCTCTCTCTCGACGCTGCACGGGACTGTCTCTGTGCTTGGCGGGCGTGGCAGGCTTGGCATGGCTGCTCAAAGGTAGCGCGCCTGTAACGAGCTCTGAAAACGGCCAGCCCAGCTAACAATACCCCGCGGCGCACCGCCCAGCAGGCATGCAACTTGGCGGCACTCATGCCCTGATGCCGAAGCAGGCTGAGCCATGGATTCACTAGCAGGGCCTCCAAGTCTGCCCAAATGGCAACTGGCACAAGAACCTGGGAATTGCAAGTTGCAACTTTTGTGTGTCGCTAGGCTCCACAGAATGAAGGCAACAAGGAAAAGCTTAAAAAATCGCGAGTTGGGTTCTGAGAAGGTTGCTCGAGGGCTACTTACACACGTGTGCTAATACCTAGCGAGCCACACAAGGTCACACACACACGCGGTTGACGAGGCTTGCCCAACACTTGGACAACCAAGTCAAAGAGAGAAAGCAGCACGACTGTTTCCTAGGTCAGGGTGTGCCACGCTCAAGGGGCCGGGCTTGGCGCAACACACTTGCAAGCTTAGGGCCACTCAGGGTTGCAGAAGCTGAGCACTCTCTGCCCAGAGCGAGCGTGCAGGTCTAGATTGCGCCGTTGCTGCGCCTGGCGCGAAAAAGCGTTAGGTCCAAACTGGTCAAGTAAGGCAGGAAAGGCTGAACCTGCTGCACATGGGTTGATGCGCGCTGTCAACGGGCATGCGTAGAGCAGTTTGTTTTTCCTGTTCGCATTGCACCCGTCGCAATGCATTGGCTCCAAGCTTGTATGGCACTAACCAGCCTTAGCTTTCACTGGGAAACCACGTTAAAAGCCTTAAGAGTTACACCTACCCTAAGTCAGCGTGGCTGCCAGTTCGTGAACCCGCTTGGCGAGTTTTGACCGCTGAACGGTCTTGCGCTTCAAGCTGAGCCCAAGGAGCTGGCCTACTGCGCAGCCACAAAGGGTGTGCAAAGCTTCGTGGACGAGCCAAGCCCGCTCACTGAGGATGGAGATGTCCAGCAAGAAGGCGACCGTGTCGGCTTGGTGATCGGGTGTGCCCAAGTGCTGTTGCAACTGGCTCAGCAAACTCCGGGCCTTTTCGCACCCCAGACGCTGAGAAGCCACCACCAAGCGCCAGGAGGGCGTTCCATCGCAGGTAGTGCCAAGCATCCCCGGACTTGGTGAGCCGCTGTCCAGGAATTGCCGGAAGCGTCTGCTTTGGCCAGTCGAGCTGCCCGCTCCTTTATGACGCACTGCATCAGATGAACCAGATCTAATCTCAGCACTGCTTGGCGGACAAGCCAACCAAAAAACTATGCACTTTTTCCAAACCACATGGATGTGTCAGGCATGAAATGGGTCCTGGCGACATTTAGTGCTTGACACCAAGACAAACCCATGAATGTGCTTTCGCACTCCCCAAACTTCCAGCAGGAAGGAGTCGAAGGAGTCGAGAGTTGGCCAGGTTGGGGCCACGTATTGCCCCCAAAAAGTATTTCTATCTCGCCTGAAAATTGTCAGCCAAACATGGGCTTGACCCTGGTTTAA